CTTAAAAAACGTCATAGTTTAGTAAATGTCATAAAAAGGTCATAAAAATGACCTAAAAACGACATAGTATAGTAAGGCATAAAAAAAGTCATAAAAACGACATGGAATAGTAAGGCATAAAAAAACGTCATAAAAATGACATGAAAATGACATAGTATAATACGACAAAAAAAAATGTCATTCTACCTTTAAAAAGGTCATAAAAATGACCTAAAAACGACATAGTATAATAAGGCAAAAAAAACGTCATAGTATAGTATGGCATAAAAATGTCAAAAAACGTCAAAGTATAGTAAGGAATAAAAAAACGTCATAAAATGATATAGTATAGTAAGGCTTAAAAAATGTCATAGCATAGTAAACATCATAAAAAAATCATAAAAATGACAGTATAATGGGGCATAAAAAACATCATAGAATAGTAAGGCAAAAAAACATCATAGTATAGTAAGGCATAAAAAATGTCATAGCATAGTAAACATCATAAAAAAATCATAAAAATGACAGAATAATGGGGCATAAAAAACATCATAGAATAGTAAGGCAAAAAAACATCATAGTATAGTAAGGCATAAAAAATGTCATAGCATAGTAAACATCATAAAAAAATCATAAAAATGACAGAATAATGGGGCATAAAAAACATCATAGAATAGTAAGGCAAAAAAACATCATAGTATAGTAAGGCATAAAAAAAGTCATAAAAATGACATAAAAACGACATAGTATAATAAGGCAAAATAAAATTGTCATTCTACAGTATGGAATAAAAATGTCAAAAAATATCATAGTACAGTAAGGAATAAAAAAACGTCATAAAATGATATAGTATAGTAAGGCTTAAAAAATGTCATAGCATAGTAAACATCATAAAAAATCATAAAAATGACAGTATAATGAGGCATAAAAAACATCATAGAATAGTAAGGCAAAAAAACATTATAGTATAGTAAGACATAAAAAAGTCATAAAAACGACATGGAATAGTAAGGCTTCAAAAACATCATAGATATAGTAAATGTCATGACAACGTCATAAAAACGACCTAAAAACGACATAGTATAATAAAGCAAAAAAAAAAATGTCATTCTATAGTATGGAATAAAAATGTCAAAAAATGTCATAGTATAGTAAGGCATAAAAAAACGTCATAAAAATGACATAAAAACGACATAGTATAATAAAGCAAAAAAAAAAATGTCATTCTATAGTATGGAATAAAAATGTCAAAAAATGTCATAGTATAGGAAGGAATAAAAAAACGTCATAAAAATGACATAAAGACGACATAGTATAATAAAGCAAAAAAAAAATGTCATTCTATAGTATGGAATAAAAATGTCAAAAAACGTCATAGTATAGTAAATGTCATGAAAACATCATAAAAATGACCTAAAAATGACATAGTATAATAAGGCATAAAAAATGTAATTCTACAGTATGGCATAAAAATGTCAAAAAACGTCATAGTATAGTAAGGCATAAAAAACGGCATAAAAATGACATAAAAACGATATAGTATAATAAGGCAAAAAAAAGAATGTCATTCTACAGTATGGAATAAAAATGTCAAAAAATGTCATAGTATAGTAAGGCATAAAAAACGGCATAAAAATGACATAAAAACGATATAGTATAATAAGGCAAAAAAAAATGTCATTCTACAGTATGGAATAGAAATGTCAAAAAATGTCATAGTATAGTAAGAAAAAAAAAGTCATAAAAATGACATAAAAACGACATAGTATAATAAGGCAAAAAAAAGTCATAGGGTTAAAAAATGTCATAGCATAGTTAACGTCATAAAAACATAATAAAAATGACAGTATAATGAAGCATAAAAAACATCATAGTATAGTAAGGCAAAAAAACGTCATAGTATAGTAAGAAAAAAAAAGTCATAAAAATGACATGGAATAGTAAGGCTTAAAAAACGTCATAGTATAGTAAATGTCATGAAAACATCATATGGCATCATATGGCATAAAAATGTCAAAAAACGTCATAGTATAGTAAGGCATAAAAAGTCATAATAAAAATGATATAGTATAGTGAGGCAAAAGAAATGACAAAGCATAGTAAACGTCATAAAAACATAATTAAAATGACAGTATAATGAGGCATAAAAAACATCATAGTATAGTAAGGCAAAAAAACGTCATAGTATAGTAAATGTCATAAAAACATCATACAAATGACATAAAAATGACATAGTATAATAGTATAATACGGCAAAAAAACGTCATAAAAATGACATAAAAACGATATAGTATAACACGGCATAGAAAATGTCATTCTACAGTATGGAATAATAATGTCAAAAAAACATCATAGAATAGTAAGGAATAAAAAAAAAAACATAAAAATGATATAGTATAGTAAGGCTTTAAAAACATCATAGGATAGTAAACATCAGAAAAACATTGGAAACCTCTCAGTAAGTTGTGGCAGATTGGCTGGGTCAACGAAGCATCGCATCTTCCTATAATGAGGCATAAAAAACATCATAGTATAGTAAGGCAAAAAAAATTCATAAAAACAACATTGTATAGTGAGACTTAAAAAACATCATAGTATAGTAAATGTCATGACAAAGGTCATAAAAATGACCTAAAAACGACATATTATAATAAGGCATAAAAAATGTCATTCTACAGTATGACATAAAAATGTCAAAAAACATCATAGTATACTAAGGCATAAAAGATATCATCAAAACTCCAAACTGGTGGCAAAAAAAAAAAAATTCAAAAAACGTCAGTGTATTAAGGTATAAAAACATCATGAAATTGACATCGTATAGTAAGGGGGAAAAGATGTCATCAAAACATCATAGTATACTGAAATATGAAAAAGTGTCATAGTATAATGAGGCATAAAACACGTCATAAAAACGAAAATGAAATACTATCGTTAGGCATAAAAAACTTGATAGTATACTAAGGCATAAAAAACATCATAAAAACAACATTGTATAGCAAGGTGTAAAAAACATCACAAAAACAACATTGTATAATAATTTGTAAAAAACATCATAAAAACATCATAGTATACTGAAGCATGAGAAAGTGTCATAGTATTATGAGGCATAAAACACGTCATAAAAACTCCATAGTATAGTAAGGCTTAACGTGATGCATGAAAACAACATTATATCGCAAGGTGTAAAAAACGTTATAAAAACGACATTGTATAATAAGGCATAAAAAACGTCATCAAAACTTCACACTACAGTATACTATAGATCATCCTTGCTATTACCACCTGTGAGAGATGAGCTAACTGGTCTACTGACTGCACAGGACTAAAGATGATAACTGCTAACTGCTAATTGATTGCCTATATGTAGAAAATACCAATTATGCTGTTAACAGCAAATGGATTGAATGATTACAATAAACTCAATGTTAAAGAAATCACACCAGTTATGTCTTTATAGGTTAGTCTATATCGTTATGAAATGTGTTCTATTTACAATGTATCTTCATCATCATCACAGTGTAAAAAAAATTCCAGAACCAGATGTATTATTTATTAACAGATAACACATGGATTGAAACAAATGTACCTCTATAGGGGAGTCAAAGAAAGGAATACTAAGCAGGACTGTGGACTAGCTGATTGTTTCATTCATGCTTCTACCTCAACACTAGTCTTTTCATGTTGTCTGCTTGTTGTAGGGCCCCATGAAGGATGGAGAGCAACAGTTTTACATGGCTGTGTGAAACTTCTGCTGAAAGAAGAGTAAGATGTGGCTTTTTATGTTCTCAAAGCATTGTGCAACGTCCTCTTGCTATAGTTACTCAGGTTCACATTCAACCACCTCTCTCTCTTCAGACATTAACTGCAAATTCAATTGAAAGTCAAATATGGCAACTTGAATGAGATATTTGCGTGTTACATAACACAGTCCTTGTCAGGGCACATCTGTAAAGAGTCAACAGTACTGCTTTATGACTTACATAATCCTCCCTTACAATATCTAGATATATAAGATTTTAGACCAGGTCTCTGTATAGCATCTGCTATATCAGCCAAAAACTGAGAAAAACACAAGCAAGAAGCCAAAAGATATCCACACACCCAGGAAAAAAATGAAAGATACTCCCCTGGGAAATTTGCTTTAACTCCTGAATGAAACATAATTATCTATGAATCATAACTTGTGATTCATTCCCCAACACTGACAAATAGTATTGTGCAAAAGAACTTGCAATACATTAATTGTTGACCCCATTGTTTTTATGTGAAAGTAAGGTAAGGATTTTTCGGATGGAGCTGATCAGATGGCCGAATTTACTTTTGTTGCTGTGAGTCTGAGAGTGTGTTGGCACTATGCTGCACAAAGTGGCCATTGCCTGATTATGTATTTTAGGATTACCATTAGTGTCATTATCAATAATGATTTGGTGCCTTCACAAAAACAAAACGGAACGACCAATCTCTGAACTGTTTCCCTGGAAAAATGGAGGCAGTACATGTTATGTAAGCCTGCATCTGGCCCAAGGAAACAAAAGGTTACCTCATGTTAAAGATTCCAACAATGTCTTATGTGTGTGTAATATATTAGCAAATAAAAGTAGTTTATTGAAATTATTTTAATGTTTTGCAGCCACTTCTATTGTTGAAATAAGAGTTGAGGACCCAAGTGGAGTAGTTTTTGTGTGTGTGTGTGTGTGTGTGTGTGTGTGTGTGTGTGTGTGTGTGTGTGTGTGTGTGTGTGTGTGTGTGTGACTCTGTGCAGGGGGTGTTCACATATTGAAAATGCAGGGGTCTTGCTATTCAGACTCTGCCAGATGGCTGTTATGTAACTTGGTAAATAGGACACAAGCCCCTGCTGACACTGGATGTGAAAAGTGAACTGCTCCTTCTTCCCTCCAGGAGAAGAGGAGTGTGCGTGTGTGTGTGTGTGTGTGTGTGTGTGTGTGTCTGTGTGTGTGTGTGTGTGTGTGTGCGTGTGTGTGTTTGGCCCAGCCCACTGTTACAGAACACTTCCTGTGGTTCCTTTGAGAAGACTGTAGCTGGCAGGATCCCTGACATTGGTGTTGCTCTCTGGCTGCCTGCTGTCTCGAGCCATGGCTGCACAGCTGGTTGTAGCTCTGCTGGCTCTCACCTCCCTGAGTGCCGCATCTGAACCGGACTGTAAAGAGCTGGTAAAGCCTCTGGTACTGGACAGCCACAGCCCCGTGAGTATCAGCGATCATTTGTTATGAGCTGGTCATATAGAGGAGGCTCTGCACTGCAGCACTGTGGGTTAATGTGCCTGAGTAGCTGAGTTTTGTCTTGGTGTTCATTTTTTGTTACAGTGAGATACACTGTGATTAAAAAGAACAAACACATTTGGTCTGAAGAATAACTGGCACATTAATGCATCTTGTATATCAAGGCTAATGTACATTATGTACACCCTTAGCAGAAAAACAACTGTGATGCCATGTAGAAATCTCCATTTTTATTTCAATTGCAAGATAACAATCAGTCTTCTTAAGCTAAAAAGCTATCAAGCTATAGCTATCAAGCTATAAAGCTATTAAGTCGTTGATAAAATAATCTCTGAAAAAGATCCATTAAACGTGTCCCGGAGCTTTTGATCCTTTTACATGTGAGCTTCCTCAGAAAAGAGAGTTGTCATGGAATTGTATGTTTAACTTTTTCAGAGCATTTTAAGAGCTATGCAGTTTTTAACAATGACATGACAGAGCATCCTCATTATTATATTATATTATATTATAATAAAGTTTGAACACAGAAATGCAGCCCAGTGACGTCAGTGCGTTGTGTGGTTGTTGTGTGGGTGACAGATCTATGGGAAGTGGGTGCTTCATGTGGGGTCATGGGACCAGTCCAGTCTGAAGAACGACTTGGTGTCGGTGAACAGCTCCTGGGTGGAACTGTCAGCTTCCTCAGACAGTGGAGTCATCACCATCTACTGGGCCGACCGCCTGTAAGGACGCTGCTGACTGCAAACGATTAGTCACGTGACCATATGTTTCGTATATCATATTGTTATTTTCCATCATTCGTAAAGTTGTCGTGAAGAGTGTATTGAAAGGTTGTTGCTCCTTTTTCTTGTTGTTTTTTTTTCTCATTACAGAAATGAGGATAAATGCCTTCAGGGTGTGGCTAATGCCACCATCTCTGGAATGACCAGCCACACCACTTGTATGTATTTTGAATTATTCACAGTTTTTCTGTTATCTCCCCGACTCACCATCTCTCCCTCTCGCTCTCTCTCTGTCCAAGCTGTGTAATGTTATGTGGGTGATGCATGCAGCCAAAGCACATTACAGAGGAGTGGGTGGATTTCATAACAAAACAGTCACAGAACCTTCCAAAAATATTAATATTTCATATATTTTTGATAGTTTTATATGGTGTTTTCTTGCGCACAGTTTCAACTAGATGCATGAAAATATGATCTCAGCTGTTTTTAATCTTTGTTCCACAGTTAACATTAATGGTCACACTTCATATCATGATGGGAAGTACTATGAGACCTGCGCCGACTGCCTCCTGTCCGAAGACACCACCCTCCTCCCTGACAGCGAATCAAAGGGACGATATCTTTTTCTTTTTAGTAAGTTTTTTTTGGGGGGGGGTGTCAATACTATTTTTGAGATATTAGGCTACTTTGCTATTTCTCTCTGTCTTCTCTCCCCTGGCTTCCCACATCGCCTCGCCATCTCACTGTTTTATTTCTCTGGCCCTTCTTTTAAAGCACGGACCGGCAGTCTGGAGCCATCTGAATTAGAGACCTTCAAGAAGCAGGCGGAGTGTCTCAAATTCCTCCCAGAGTATCACTTTTCAGGCAGCGGTCAGTCTTCAGTTTCAGCTCTGCATCTCTCTGCCGCCCAATTCAATTATCAAATACAGCATTGTGATTCTATTACTATTGTCTCATTTCAGATCTGTGTCCGGATGACAGAGAGACTTCTGCTTCACCTCCCGCTGAGAATACAGAGAATGATCAAACTGATACTGAGCCTGCTGCAAAGTAAAGCAGAGCACAGAAGTGTCATAGCCCTGTGAACAGTCTCCAAACACCCAAACAACTCCAGCTTAACATGTACTAAATAGTGTCAAAATGTGATCTGCTTGTGCACTGATGTAATCTTGTGATAATTTTTAATATGTCGTCAAGTTGCTGTCAGCCTGCAACAAAGTGTAAGCTTATATTGTTATGTTAGGTCAGTAGTTTAGTTTAGTAAATCCATTTTAAATGTCTCCTTTAATGCATCCACCATGTTCTCACTGGTTGTGTATGGTAAATAAAAAAAGTTCTCAGTCTCCCGCTGTACTGTCTTCCACTTGTTTATTTCTACTCTTATTCAGAAAAAGTATTTGGCTCAGCACCAACATTTCTTCGTCCTTTCTCACACACAGTGAAAGTTGCCAAACACTCTGCTGACCCATGTATCAAAATTATACGCTTCATTAAAATTAATACTGCTCTTCTAAAATGCCCCACTGTTCCCAGGAACTTCAACAAAGACTGTTGTTCAGTAACGTCTCTGTTAGGGAGAGAAAGAAGACTTCCAACTTTTAAACTGTCCCCACAAGGAGCCCACACAGCCCCACAGGGAAACAACCTTCGTTCTACTGGTGAAAAGCTTTGGTTTTTTTTGGTTTTTTTAAATGTCTCATCAGTCCAAGACGAGCCGTGGCACGTTGCCTGAGTTCATTCAGGGTCAGCAGCATGGGCAACAGAAGACTGCTAAGCAGGCCATTCTGTGCTGAATAAAAGAAATCTGCATGGCTCTGCATGGTCATTAAATAACCTTCACCGGTGCATTTGAGCATGTACAATCCCCCCTCCTCTTCCATATTAGCACTTGCACAACAACTTCTCTTTTTTTTCTTTTCTTTTTTTTTTTGTGAAACCCCAGAGGGAAAAGTTTTCTGTTGCAGGTTCGGCACCATCCTCTGCAGTGCAGCTGTCTCCCAGTCTCAGTCCTCATCCCTCTGTGTGACCATGGCTCTGCCTGCTGTTGTGTTTCTGTTGGCTCTCACTTCCCTCACTGCTGCATCTGCACCTGACTGCAAGGACCTGGTCAAACCTTTTATGCCAGAGGACCCCAAACAGGTAAGTTGTTCTTATGATCCCTTTTCTTATTGATCCCAAAGATGGCTGATTTTACTGAATGTAAAAAAAAAAGGTATATTATCAATAAACACAATGAAATATTTGGAATATAGCTACATAAATCTGAACTGCTTACATGCAGGTGTTTGGAAAATGGGTGTATGTGATGGGAGCTGGTGACCCCAAGCAATACCACATGGCACTGGAGTCTCTGAAAAGCTCCTGGATCGACTTGTCTGCCACTTCTGACAGTCAGACTGTGACATTAAAATGGGGAGATCACTGCTTGTAAGTTAATGAAGCAGAATCATTTGAGAAAGACTTTGTAGCACTATATTAGAATTAGAAAAGGTTTTTTAATGGCATGTTAGAGTTTAACCTTGTGAAAACAAAATTGTGTCACAACAATCCTTGTTTCTCAGTAACCGGTGTATCTTGGGGGAGGTAAATGCAACAATCTCAGGACTTGCCACCACATTCCGCAGTAAGTGAACCAAAGACAGACAAATGTAAGGCAGAGATTTATCTTTAGACAAATGACAAAGATATCCACAACATCAGATGTCATATAATAATCAGTCACTCTGGTTTTAAAGAAAATCTGTCAGAGCACAAAGGACATATCCTACAGACTTGCTCTGACTGCCTGCTGTGGACAGACACCTTTCGAAATGGGGATGTCACTGGTAGATACATCCTGCAGTTCAGTAAGTTTTGTCCTCATCAACACATTTGGAGTTTTAAGATATGTACAGTCCTTTTTTTAACTAAAAAAAAATATCCCCCCTCTTTCAGCAAGGACAGGAAAAATAGATCCCAAAAATGTTGAAATTTTCAAGAAGCAAGTTGGGTGTCTGAACTTCCCGGAGAACTTCCATAGCTACGATGGCGAAACAGGTCAGTAACTAATTAGTGAACAAAGTTTTCTCAACCATTTCCTTCTTAATCTTTACTGGATGCTACAACTTACACAACTTTCCACAAGGTGGAGATGTTGTATTGAAATGCATTATTTAAATATGATTATATATTATGTACCTTCATTATGTTTGGAGTAATTCAATGAAGTACTATGTGCATGGGCAGGAAATGGAGGTGGAGCCTTCAGGGAAACTGTGGTACTCACTTTGTTCTGTTCTTCTCTCAAAGATTTCAAAGTTTATCTTTTTTTTGTCTTCCTGTGTTTCAGAGCTGTGTCCTGACGACAAAGAGAGTGAGCAGCAATAAAAAAGGACAAGAGATAAAGCAACTTTTGTATTAAGCAAAATATGTATAATGTAGTAGTTTTGTTCTGATTGAATTATATATGCTTTAGCACAAACCCTGGTATTTACACACATTTTTTTGGCTTCATGAATACCAATACAAGTGATTAATGATTTTACATATTCACTTATAAAAACCTATAACAGCTGTTTTTGTCTTTCTTATAATTATGCTTTTACGCTATTATTACGCTATTATTGACAATAATAATATTACACACTAACTGTTTAATTCCTATGATTTATTGAAAACAAGGATATGAAACAAAAATCAGAAAAGACAAATTTCTGCTTTAGTGGCTGTGAAGTTGATTTAACATATCACACACTGTCATGGCGGTGGATATATTTTATGATTTCAAAATAACGAAAAGTGAACTGGCTCTTAATGAAAAAATGATACATCAAATAAGCCAATTTAAGTGAAAATAAACAGTAAACAGTTATAGTTTTGTATTATTTCTTTTGATCCAACCCAACCATGTCCTTAGTAATGTTTCAAATACAGATGGGAGTCTTATGCTGTGGGTGTATGTGCAAGTTTGCAGTTTCTCAGACTGACCAGTCTCCTCATGTCCATGCACTTAAGCCACCAGCCTGCTGTAATGGCTCCCCAGGCCAGTTTGAGCGCTCTCCATCTTGCATAACCTGCTGCTGTCTGTCCGCCCACTGGTTCTCGTACTTTGTGTCTCTGAGCTGCTCTCTGCCCGTGCCAGTTGCCTACATCTGAACAGTGCTGCCACCTGCTTCTGGCACTGAGAAGAGCCAAAGTAATAGAGGACTGGATCCACACAGCAGCTGAGGCTGCCTAGACACATGGAGATCAGGTACGCCTGGTACGAACTGTCACTGGACTTGTGGGACAGCTGAACATAGTGAACCATCAGGATGATGTTGGTGGGAGTGAAACAGACCACAAACACCATCAGCACGATCACAGCCATCACCACAGCCCGAGTCTTCCTGGAGCGGTTCTCCACATTGGCTGCTGCCAGAGCCTGGATAATACGTACATAACAGACAACAGTGAAGACAAGAGGGATGAAGAAGAAGACAGAGGAGTAGATGGGGAAGAAGTAAAGATAGTAAGCTTGCAGTTTTTCCACATCCTGCACATCATGGCAGGTGGTAATGCCCAGGTCTGACAAATACATGGTCTGCCCTGAGACCAGCAGAGGGGACACTCCCCCGAGGGCTAACAGCCACATGGCAGCACACACGGCTGAAGCTGTCTGAGGGCTGCGCCACGTCAGCGAGTTCATGGGGTAAACCACGGCCAGGAAACGGTCGATGCTGATGCACGTCATGAGCAGGACAGAGCAGTACATGTTGCAGTAGAAGGCTGCTGTGACAACTCTGCACATGAAGGAGCCATAGATCCAGTTGTTGCCATGGTAATGGTAGGCAATCTTGAAGGGAAGGAGCAGGCCAAACAGCAGGTCAGCGCAGGCCAGGTTCAGCATGTAGATCACTGCTGGTTTCCTGGGACGGATGTGATGCACAAACATCACCATAGTAATGAGGTTGAGGGGCACGCTGATGATGAAGACAAGGGTGTAAATGGTCGGGACAACGCTTGTTGCCAGGCGACCCTTGAGAAAACCTTTAGCCTCCTCTGAGACAAAATAGTGCTTCTGGGGTTGACGGTGTGGGCCGTGGTGGCCGTGTCTTTTCACCGGCTCCTGCCCTGATTCTGAGCCAGACCCTGTGTCGTCCATCAGACCGTCCAACGCAGAAAGGTCAATGTAGTCTACAGGATCATCAGTGACCATCACAAAGTGACCAGAAAAAGTCCGCGGCAGCAGCTCTGAGTCTTGAAACACAGAGACCACAGAGACAGAACAGGATACATGTAACTTTCTTTTCATCTTTAGATGAATCCAGAAATAGAAGAGAAAGCTTTATCATGACAGGGTTAGTACAGTTACATAGTTATAGACTGGACGTATTTTAGTATCAATGATCTTATTTTAAGCAATACCTACCTCAGTATGCTTCACAGAGATAAGCAGGAAGCTGAGTGGAATTTTTTTTTTTGACTGGTGGCCCTTGCATAATCTTCCACTGGTATTGTAAGTATTTGGGTTCTGTACTTGTGTAAAAGTAGTATTAACACACTGTAAAAATAATCCATCACAAGTTCTGCCCTCAAAATATTTCAGTACAGTACAGTATTATAAACATATTATCACCAAAATGTAATTTAAAAAATAAAGAATATCCTTACAAAGTGTTGATTATTATATTATTGGATTATTAATGGTGCATTAACTGATACATGTAAGCAGCATCTAAATGTCTGAGGGGAGCTGATTTTAACTACTTTATATATTGTTGGTTAGTCTAGAAATTATTCAAGCTGATCATGTTTTGTAGGCAAAAACCTGTAAAGCTGTAATTATGGATTAAATGTAGTGGAGTATTGAAATATCCAAGTAAAGGACAAGAAACATCCTAATACATAAGAACATGGACTTCATTATTTTCCACCACTGTCCATGACCTGCTGTGTGGCCAAACAGACCTTGGCAGAATTACAAATTCTAAAACAAATCATGGTTCAAGTTTCTGATTACTATCGAATTCTTGCAGTTTGGAAAGGTGCAGGGTCATTACTTCGTGAAACACAATTCCCATAGTCCAGCCTTCTATATACAATATACAGTAAACTATACTCTGACATAAGGGGAATTATGTGCTAAGGCATCGTTCTGCTGAAGCAATTGTATAAACAGAAAATGCCATATTTATTTTAAATCACACGGCTGACGCAAATATAGTTAATGTTACTCATCTTGCATTTCTAAGTGCAAGTCTGTACAAAGTATGATAATATTGATTTACCTAATAATCAGAACGATTATGGAGCATTCAAAGTTTTACACAAAGGTTATTGTGAGGAAAGCAACTTACCATTTTGGGAGGCGAGTGCTGAGCTCTGGAGAGAAAACAAAACCAACAGCCCTATTAACAGGTGACCCATGGCTTTACTGTATATCCTCTGAATAAGTGTGTTGAAATTATCTGTTGGCCAGAAGAGTGGCTTCAGTGTTTTTCTGCCAGCTTCAAACGTGTTATTACAGTCCAGTGTGGACACGCCTCCTCCTCACTGCACACCGTCTCCTCCCCTACTACAGAGAAATAATGTCATGTGTACTGGTCCCTGAAAATATTTTCCCTCAAAGCATTTGTTGATAGAAATATGTTTAAGAACAGACAGATAATAAAGATAATGAAGATATATATCAATATAAAGATAATAATAAAATGCACAATATGGATAACAGATGAAAAAAAAAAAAAGGTCAAATGATATGGGGCATGTGTAATTTATTATGCACATTGTTCAAGCATTACAAATCACTTATATACTGATAATACACATTAAAAATACATCAGTTGCAGCTTTTAAAAGTTTTGAATGTTTTATTAATTAAAACATGTTTCTTTAAACGCTTTAATTAAAAAGGCACTGGTAAACTACAGTATTTCATGTAGCCATGCAGGCTGGCTAGTAGGTTGCTCCACAGCTCTATTTGTGAACTGATTGTTGCTGCATCGTCTCAAATATCCGTCAAACCCTTAAAGTTTTTTCAGCAAACAAGGAACCAATAAGTGTGTTTTCTACTATCTTTTACATACAAAACATGAATATTATTACAATTTAATTCTTAAAAATACATTACATTTACAATCACCACGTGGAAAAATACAGGACGGATATTTTTAATTGAACAATAACTACATTTCATTTTGGTGGGATCCATCAAATTATAATCAGACGAAACAAAACACTGTCCTGAACCATCTGATGTTTTCTGACAAAATTAATTTTGCACATCAAACTCAGTACTGTCAGAAGGCACAATCTATTTCCTCCTCCGCTCCTGAGCTTTCTCCCCTCTTGCTCTTAACTTTCTCATTTTCCGTAGAATTTCTTGTTTAGGAGGAAAATTAGCAAATTTACATTCACTTTGGCTTTGTCAAACATCTTCATGACGGCCACGCCTTCGTACTGCAGCTGAAGGAGGTCCTGGACACAAAATACAACAGGTGCAATGAGAAACTCAAATTTGGGAGGTTTCAACATAAATAATAATCAAATTTACCTCCTATGTCAGATATTATTTGATTAATTATTATCATCTCTTCTGGGTATTCTCTCAAATGTTTTTTTCACAATCAGAAAAGAAAATACAGATTTGTTGCAACAATTGTGTCTGAACTGGAAAATATTTCCTTTATTTCCATCATATTTCCTGCTAGTAGTCCAAAGAGGGGAACAGGACATTTAACCATCTGTCATGTCATCAAGTTTAAGTGTTGACTAGTGAGCTGCTTTGGGATGTGTTTACCTGGAAATGAAGCTGGACCTTTTCCATCTCAACTCCCATAAATTTAGCCTTCACCTCAAAATCCCCAACTTCCTCAGTGGGTGAAATGTCAAACATGACGTTTTTGAACCTGAGACATGAGAGAGACAATAACATGGGATTAATGAAAAAAAAAAGTGACAACACAGCACACTGGGGAGAACAGGACCTCATTTACAGGTTTTGGTATTTCCACTGTACGTTGGAGAAACTCCAAATCAGCACACAATCTCCTCAGCACAGCTTTTCCCTGTGTTGACAGATTTGAGTTTCATTCACACATTTAACTAACCGTTAACAGTAACTGTCTTGAGAGTGAAAAGTGAATTAGGGCACGAAGACAAATGTTATCTTACTGATTAATACTCCTAATTTTAACACATATGATTGACAACAAGAGTTTATAGTAAAGTCCCAATACTTTGAATGGACATGTTTCCTCTTAGCAAACAAGAATCATATTCTAAAGTAGGATACAACTAAACTAATGAAGACTACAGATTGTTTGAATAACTACACTAAATGTATGAAAAAGTTTTGCCATGCTTGCACAAACTGTGTAGAATTGCTCTGTCATATCTGTTGTATGACCAGCATTCAAAGTTGATGTGCAACAATTTGCAACTCTGATGATGGTGGTGGGATGGTTGGGAGATAGATTTGATCATCTACACTGCAATCTGAATTTCTCTGCATGTCACAACCTAACACCAGATACTTCATTACAGGTGCTGTAAATGTAAAAATCCAATATCTGACCAGCGGTAAAGACGAAGATTAAATCCTTTTTTAATTTCATCAACTCACTGGTTTGTCTGAAGTCCTTCGATTTCCAGGATGACTCCTTTCTCATGCAGCCTCGCTGCAGTGTACTTAAGGGACTGTGGCTTCCACTTCTTACTGCCTTTATCATCTCCTTTGCTGTCCAGTTTTATAGATCTGCGTGAATTCCTGGATACACAAAGCACACTAATATATTATATCCACATAAATGACAGGAAGCACAAACATCATATACAAACAGAGAGAAAAATGATTTTGCTAAAGTCTTTATCCTAACAAGGTGTAAGAAATGAAGGTACAACTAACTTCCTGTTGAGGTTATCCAGGCAGGTCTTGATGTAGGTATCATAATAATTCATCTGGTCCTGATAGAAAGCAGTTTTCGAGTTGAGCGCCGTCAGTGTCTGCTGGAGCTTCACAAGCTCGGCCTTCCTCCTTTGTCTGTAGCGTCTTTGGTAGCGAATGTCCTGTCAAAAAAGTTTTTAGTTTTTACAAATTCAGAAGCCAAACAGACTTAACAGTGCTTATTAGTTAGCAGTGGAGGCAAGGGTCCTTCGATGTGAATAAAGAGCTACTTATGAACCTTTGATATGTCGTTGATGAGGTCCTGGTATTTGTTACCAGCACTGGCAAGGCCGGCCTGCTCCAGGTTACGGAGGTTTCTCAGGATCTTCCTCTTCTTCTGCTCGAGAGGTAGCTGGCTGTCCTCCAGTACTGCCGCGCTGCTCTTCAGACCCTCTGGAGTCTGAGCGTCCTGGACTGCTCGGCGCTCTACAATCTTTGTATGCTCCGACTCCTTCAGTAAAGAAGTCATATTAGAAATGCACAAATTAGAACATTAGACTGCAATCAAAGACCAAACATTTATTGCATATGTTCCTCTGATAAATGAGAATGGCTTGTGGGTGCATCGGTAAGGAAAACAAAATAAAAAAAAAAAATCACCTGTGGTGCAGTCGCTGGGGTCTCAAGAATTTCAGGCAAAGTCTCTCCAGGTTGAATCCGAACCACATCCACTATTAGCTTTTTTGTCCTGACAGACACACACACAAGCGCACGCACATACACACAAGCGCACGCGCGCACACACACAGACACACACAGAAAAAGATCATCTTTTAGAGCCAGTCCTCTCTCTTATATTTCAGGTGTAATCCAAAAACTTAATGAGGCTGTCATCATACAGTGACAGACAAAATCTTTTTGGGAAAAGTGTTGTTAGTGTCCAGACATGTGCCAACAAGCACAAACCAATTTTCTCAGGAGAATTGAATCATCATTCCCCACCTTTAATCATAAATTCTCCTTAGGAAAGAATTAATATACCTGACCCGTATACATTTTTACTCTCCCTTATATAACATCACCTACTCTTAACCACGTTAAGGTCATCGGCAAGATTATGTTGTTGGTCCAGTCACCTCAAAAGCTACTCAACAGATCATAAACTATTCAATAAAATACCAATCTTCCATACTATATTCCTATGATTGATAACTGCAGTCTTGTTAACATGGCCTCAAAATATTATGCAATTACAATTTATCTGACTTGCACATACAGTGGCTGGGAAAGTGGTCTCTGACCTCTGGAGCCCACTGTATCAACTCAGAGAAATACTGATTCACATTTATTGTTTCTTCTTAAAAAATGTACATGCCAGAAAGTAATGAAGAGAGCAGCTCTGCCACACAGTCTCTTTTAAGGAACTGATGCAGACGGATACATGTTTATAGGCGAGATAACCCTGACCACCATACCCCTTCCTTTTTGGACAGGAAAATGATAGAACAGCAGGAAAGACAACAAAGACGCGTTACTGAGTGATAGCCATAAAGAAGCACACACTGTGTCAAGAAGGGTTGAGTAAAGTGCATCACTCAGCATTCACAGCAATCCCAAACTCTATATGCAACGCTTTAACTAAGTGTGATTCAGCGTAATGGTCTTAAATATACATCAAAGACTAGAGTATGGCGACATAGGCTGAAATCTGAATTGAGATTATTTACAAATTCTCATCCGGTAAGAATTTAGCATGAAGCTTTTGTCTCAGCATCCTCCAATAATAAAACCTACTTCGTCATGAGAGTCTTCAGGTCTTTGTCATCCCCTTCCAGCAGCTCAAACTTGCTGGTTAGGGTGAGGGAGATTTCTGTCTTCGCCAGCTGGCTAAGAGAACTCTCTCTGTTTGAGTCATTAGGGTCTACTGCTCCTTCACCTGAAATAAACCAGAACAGTGTGTAAAATGATAAATACACTATAGCCAACTGGTGTTTAATATGAATAAGAGTTTGTTTGACAGTACCGAGCAATGACTCTACATCTGGGACGTCTCCCAGGTCCTGCAGCAGCTCATGCAACAAGTCATTGTGGTCTGGAGAGATGGCCTCCAGATGTTCCAAAAGCAGCTGAACAGATACAGATGTGATTAGACCGGAACAAAAAGTTTAAATACTTCATATGTAATTTTAATCTTACAAGGCTCTCTTTCTGCTTAGTGAATTGCAAGAACATGTACATTAATTATATACATATATATGTGTGTGTGTGTGTGTGTGTGTGTGTTGCAGTAAAAAACACCCAGTGAAGGTCCACAAATAATATGGTAAAGTAATGTATAGGTAAAATGCATTTTCTTCACATATATAAAACAAACAGACAGGAAATGGAATGCCCAATCTCCATCATCTCCATTGTTCCCTGTGTAAGTGCAGAGTGAAACTGGTGATAAATGGACACAGATGGCTTTAGCGTACTTATGTCACCACTACCCCCCTTTCCAAGGAAGTGGTCTGGAAATATAAAGAAAGGAAACAGGATGATGATGTAAAGAAAGTTCAGTGGCTGTGCGAGAAGCAAGCGATAAAAAGGGATGAGAATGTGACAAGAGTTGACAA